ATATATATATATATATATATATATATATATATATATATATATATATATATATATATATATATATATATATATATATTATATGCGTGAATGTGTTTAAAACAGCTGAAGATTTAAATATTCCCTTTTACGAATACGGGAATACAGTAGCCGTGTTTCTATCAGTCCACTTCACATACCGCTTAGTTTTGCCGTCGAAGTACTCCGTGCCTTTAACAATAACCAGATGTGCTGGTAAATTGACCCCCCACGCAAGTGTGGATGTGGCCACAAGACATTGGATCTTGCGTTGCTCAAACAGATTCTCAACTATTCGCCGGTCGTTTGGGTGTAGACCTGGAGTGCACCGATGAGTTTTGATGTAAGGGAATACTAATTCGGATACACGTGGGTAGTATGTAAGTGTGCATAGGGGCGTATCGTGTTGCAAATTGCAGTAGTGAGAGGAAGAGCAAGCAAATAAGTTTGGACGCACACCAAATACAACTATACTTTTAACAACTCAATATAAGTTTAGACAAACAAGATGGTTCTTTTGAAATAGATAATTTTTGTACCAGTGTCGTTTTGTATAGTTACGCACACCTGCATGATGTAGTCCTATACCAAAGGCCAGAACATTGCGCAAATTGCTGTCTCTGATAGCGTCCAGATATGGTAAAATGTCGTCTTCGGGCATCCAGAGGTACTGTTTGGGCTTTTCGTCGGCCATGCAGAACTTCACGAGATCCATCGCTGTCAAACTGCAAAGAAGCAGTCGAGAAAAGCAAAGAATTCAGGTGTATATATAGATACCCAATTAAAAAGTGGTCCACAGCATGTTTGCTCCTAAAACTGAACTAGATTAATTTATGTGAACTTAGTTCCTGTGGCTGTCAGACAGCTACGGTGAATCGATGAAACGCGATGTTGACATGTGCCCAATCCATCTCAACACTCTGTTTTACAGCACACGATCGAAGTGCTGATATGCTTTGATTGAAATTCAGACACTCGAGTGTGCCGGGCAGACGATGGCATGTTTGCAAAAACCTTGCCTAAACTGGAAACATCCACGTGCGCGATAAATAAAAAAAACAGATTGTGACTATTCATATCCCGTACAATGTACCTGCATGCTTATATACGTGTGTAAGCTACATTCATTACAAATGTACAAAGTCAGCCAATTTAATCCTAGCCTTACCGTGTCTGTCGACGAGAGGAGACAAATATGATGACAGGTTTCTCGGGAGAGTGGTTCTGTATAGCCACATATGCGGGCTTGTTCATAGTGGCCATTCGCGGACAGTAGTGTTTGCCTGGGAATCCCTCGATGTGCACCTTCGCGTACAGAAACGGTGTACGGAATAGTCAATACAAAGAGATGTGCACGCTAACCAATAGGAAAGCAGATGCCACAGTAAATAAAAAATGTACAGGACAAAATTAGCTATTAAATAAAAACAGACAGCTACAGCGACATACGTAGTTGAACATCCAGATTCACTACCACACCTTCAGGTGCAGAAGGTTCAAAACCGAGTTGAAGCTGGAGAGTCCCACGGTTACGAATTATCCAGCAACGGCCTCAGTCATATGCATTCGATAGTGCATCGAACATGTATCAGACTGCACAGACAAATACACTTTCAGAAACACAGTTTTCAATGACGGTATGAAATTAATGAGTTCTGCAGGCGATATGATATCTAGCCACCGACCTAAGTTATTCGCATTTCGCCAGTGCACGTATGCCCATTCGAATAAACACGACAATACAGGATATAAACATATGCAAAGAGAATCCTACACACGAGCACACCTCCAGGGGCACAGGTCTCACTGACGGTCTGAAATTGAAGAGTCCTGCAGGCGATGTGATGCCTAGCCACCGACCCAAGTCATGTGCATTTGCCAGTGCAGTGGACAGGCCTACCACACGGATGCTCTTTTTAGTGTGTGCACTGATGAAGTTCGTACGCGACACAATCACCTAGATAAAAGAAAGTATCAGTATTAACATGGCTGACCATACCTTCGTGACAAATGAACGGCAGCGTTCGTGTGTATGCGTGGTTCTAGAAGTGGGAGGGAAACTCGACCAACTGATAGTTAAACTATATGCAAAGCCGACTCTGGCTGAACCAGATTGTATTGCTTTGCGAGGTGAGAACAGAATGCATGTTTTTGAATAGTAGCTTTGGGGGTTAGTTGATTGACCCATTTACATTGACTTAGAAAAGCATACCCAAATGCATACACACAAAACACACATACGCGCAGGGGATCTATAACCTTCAGAGCAGACATCTACTAACACACGAGTATGTGTGTGCATTCGTGCATCTTTGAGATTTCGCTATTTGCTTAAATATTCAATCCAATAGCGAGACCTCAAGATGCACGAATACACACACACACACACTATATATATATATATATATATATATATATATATATATATATATATATATATATATATATATATATATATA